TTTGCTAGTCTTGCCCTCCCCCTCCCCCTCCCCTAGCAGAGGCACTGGGCAAAGGGCATAGGCACAGTTGCTTGGTATTTATTTCTCTGTGGGTACAATCAAGCCCTTATCTCATTTATTTTGCTCCAGTGGCACAGAAAGCTAGAGGACTGTGATGGGGTGTGCAGATCTTTGTGAAACCCTGGTAGGGGATCTGAATTACACCCCACACCTCACTCATGTGGTGTCACTTGGAGGAGATCCTGAGGAGCCAACCAGCAGCCTGGTGCCATGTGGGTTAATGTCCAGCCAGGCTATAGGGGCAGATCAGGAAGCTAAGGGCAGCTGAGCTTCTTTAGGCTGAAAGCCCTGCAAAAGAAACGTGTGACTCTCTGGCCATGGCCGCTTTAAGAAAGCTACTCACTGCTGACAATGACCATGGTCTCTGAAATGGTACCGAAACCACAATTTGCCTCAGTTATACTTACAGTTAACCATGCTCAACACTGGTTCAGCTGCACATACTGCTGCCACCTATTCTCAGCAATGGATACACCAGGCTTCAAAGAGGGGAGAGAGAGAAGGTGGCTGTGCTGACCACAACCAGGGCAGGGAGCTCAAGGGAAGCATTTGAGCTACCAGGCTACATGGTTTCTACATCTGGTTTGGTTGTTTTGAGTTAACTGCATGGCAGAAATGTGCCTCTACAGACCTTTGTCAGATCAGTGTCAGTTCAGATCAAACCCAACCTAGAGAGGTGATTTCTATGTGCATAAGTCAGTCTCAGGTGGACTCTGTTTTAAGAACTGAGTGTCCAAGTGAGACATGGTTTTAACAGCAGCATGTCTTAGAGTGTCAAAAGCAAATGAGATGTGGAGGAAGACAGATTAGAGGCCCTAAAATTTGGCCATAAAGAGGCTGTTGAAAACAAAAGCACTTGAAATCCTATCAGACTGCCACGTGCGCAGGGCATATCTACTCTGTACCATGGTCATAGAGCTGTACGTTCAGCTTCATGAATGCAAACCTCACATTTAAAGAGATTAAAAGTGGGGCTTTTTTTTAAACTTGGGTCATTATTAGCAATTGGTTTTACAGCTGATCCTATGACAAGACATTACACGTAAGTACACTAAAAACAAAGATGCTCACTGGTTATTGTGATTAATTCTATGGCACCACCTTTTCTCTATTCCCTCTTCTCCTGAGCTACAATCAGAGAACAAAGGCTCCAATCCAGAGTCACACGGAACCTACCTAAAATAAGCAAGTTATATTACATACCTATACTTTTAGGGGAGTAAGCATGGGCCCTGCAGCTTCCCAATATTATTGGATCAGAGACCAACATCCAGTTTGCATGGTCGGTGCAGGGGTGATATTGTCCAAACCTGGGAGGTGAGATTGTGGGTGTGCACAGGTGTTTTGTGCACACCCAGCAGGGCTCAGCCCACGAGAGCTCTGAACAGATCTAAAACCAACCTCATTTTGTAACAACGTATATTCTCTACACCCTCTCATCCTGTGGCATCCCAAGACACCAAGGTGCCCTAAAGCTCCTGCAGGCTAGTGGGTCAAGCTCATCAGCTCTTGTACAGAATCGGAGAAGGTGGCCAGATACTCAACGCTATTGGGAAGGGTGGGGGTTTTGCCTCATACTGGGAAGGATTATAGCATTTGATTCCTCCTTGGCTCTGTTCCCTTAGGACACAACCACCTCCCCTTTGCATCTGTGGTCTAAAGCAGCCTTCATATGTTCCTCTTTACCTCCTTCCTTTTCCATTTCCTTTCAAATGGCCAAGTGAACACAGATCTACTGAGCTCCACCAAGACAAATACGTAACTGGCAGCTGTGCGTTTTGATAGCAGCACTGGGTCTGTTCCGATGAAAGAGTCTATGACAACATATTTTAGCCTGCTTGGAAACTCCTTTGCCCAGCCCAGATGTTCTCCCAGAGATAAGTTGAGTAAAACAGATCAGGCCAGGCAGATGTTAAGGGGACAAAAATGAAAGCAATTGCAACACAAACAGAACCCCTTTTTGAACTACATACCTGATCTCCATTCTAAGATGCCTAGGAGCACGATCAGGTGCCAACTAGCATAGTGACCTGATGAACAAAAGCTTTGGAGTCCCTGAATTCTGCTATTAATTATAGAGCTCACCCACCTTGCTTAGGGTCAGATATGGATCTCATCTTCAAAAGTGTAACAATGGGGTTATTCCATAGGTTTCGCTGGAGTTAGCACCGGTTTTACACCAGTGTAAACATAATCAGAATCTGTCTCTTGGCATATAATGGGTCAGGCTGGACATATTAGGCCAGATTCCAGGCTGTTTTGTGCCACTCCTGCAACATATAGGGACTGCAAAGGGAGGGGTGTGGTCCCCAGAGGAATTCCCCCAGTGCAGGGAAAGCATATACTGGCATATGCAGCTCGAAAGCTGCCTCTCATGCAGCCCCTGGAGCAGGGTACTGCCAAAGGCATGAAGAGAATTGGCCAGAGCACTTCATACTTTGGAATTCTTGGCTGCAGGGGAACCCATTGGCAGCGGCCGTGGGAAAGCTGCTGAGGGTTACGTAGGGGTTGTGACTATTCCAGGAACAGGTGGGACCTGTGTGAGTGCGTAGTGCTCGAACGTACACAGGAGGCTGCACAGGCTCTGAGAGCCGGAGGAGTCTGGAATCAGAGAGGTATAAAGGGGGCTTAAAACCCCGGCATCCTGGTCAGTGCCTTGTGTGCCACGCCTCTTGTGCATGGTAGCACTGAATCTTGCTCGTATCTTTCAGTCGCAGCACTTCCTGTCAGTGAAGGTTTGATCAGTGATCATGACAAGGCATTTCTGTTCCACCTCTGAACACTCACATTCTACATTAGTGGCTCTCAGTCTTTCCAGACTACTGTACCCCTTTCAGGAGTCTGATTTTGTCTTACATACCCCCAAGTTTCACCTCACTTAACTACTGGCTTACAAAATCAGACCTAAAAATACAGGAGTGTCACAGCCCACTCTTACTGAAAGATTGCTGACTTCCTCTTTTTTACCATATAATTGTAAAATAAATCAATTAGGATATAAATATTTTATTAACTTATCAGTGTATTGTATACAGAGCAATATAAACAAGTCATTGTATGAAATGTTAGTTTGTACTGACTTTGCTAGTGCTTTTTATGTAGCCGGTTATAAAATTAGGCAAATATCTAGATGAGTTGATGTACCCCCTGGAAGACTTCTGTGTACCCCCAAGGGTACCCAGACCCCTGGTTGAGAACCACTGTTCTACATTATCCAAGGAAAAAAAAATGTACTTTGAGGTGAAAATTAGCTTTTAGCTTTCCACAAGGGTATGTACACAGTCCGCTCCCTCCCCTCTCTCACATTCCTGTCCTGTGCCTTAAAATAACACAGCCAAGTTCATGAAAGAGAATTCCATGCAGAAAACATTCACCAATCAGTCATTTTGAGCCCCAGGTAACTGATAATTTTTCTTTATATTTATAGTTAGTTTTATTAGGAAACTTGGAATTCCATCGGCATTGAGGGTGTTCAGGATCAGACTCTAAGGAATTGTCTATATTAGAAAGTTGTGCCAATTTAACTATATCACAGATATAACTGAGTCCCGTAGTGCAGACTATCAGTACAAAGGTGCTTAAGGCAGTATAGTAAATCTCGTATGAGCAAGGGAATAAGTTATACCACTCTACATCCATATTAGAGCTTTTACCAGTGTAACTATTCTGCTAACACATCACACATTTAATGGAAATAGCTAGACCAGTCAAACTTTGAACCAAGCTGCAGTGCAATGTTCACCTAGGGATTGGTGATGAGGGCAGTTGCCCTGAGTGCCAATCTCTCTCCTTAAATTTGTATCTATGGCCTTTCACATAAAAATACATATTCCCAAAGCCACCATATAAGAGGGAGATACTTGGACCATACTGGCCTTAGTTTATTGACCACTGGGGCAGATTGCAAGGCTCTTTTTCCCTATCTAGAAGAAGTTTTTGGATTGTTTTCTGAGTTCCAACTTTCTTAACCTTTGTTTTTTGCCACTGCATAGCAAAGAAACACCTGGAAGCAGGAGAGAAATTCATCTTAGTTCACTGAACTCCTCCTAGCTGCAGTCTAGTGCATAGGACCAAAATTTAGTTGTTTAAACAAATACACGGATGGGCCCCTGGTCTGCCCCATTATGGTGGGAGCCCTGTCGGGAGCAGGGATGTTATGTGAGGGCCAGGGGAATAGGTGGGGATGCAGCGGGAACCAGGGTGGATAGTATGTAGATTCCTTCGTTGATGTCTTCCCCTGCTCTAGGAGGAGAGCTGCCTCTGTCTGACAAAGCCTGTGTTATAAATGCCAGGATCTTCTGCGGAAGTAGCTCTGTGGCATCTCGCCTGGCCAGTTCACACCCTAACGGGAAGTGAGGGTGGGGGAAGGACTGCAGCTGTAGTTGATGCCATAGCACTGATCTCAGCTCTTAGCTGTGGGGATCTCCGTCCTCTGACAGCGATCCCGTGGGAGTCTGGCTAACAGAACCGAGTCAACTTCTGACACATGTTATGAAAATCCCTCCACACTAGTAAAGATACTTATCTGCAAGAGGAAAGGAGAGAACTTCTTTCTGTTTTGTAACCAGCTAGCGATTAGATGAGGGCACAGGGCTAGATCTCAACATCACTTTTAAATAGTTAATGAGACAGTTTCTATTAACAGGTATGGAAAAAATATCAGGATGCTGGAATCTTTATTCAGTATCCCTTTTATTTAAGAAAAAGGCCTATTCCAAATAACACATAGTATATAGCACACATCTTCAATTATAGTTTCTTCATTTGTGGAAAAGATTTCTTATTGCTAAATAAAACTCAAAGCAGCTTGCGGTCACACAAAAGATGTAAATAACTTTTTAAAGCTTTAAATCTTATAAAACAGATGACAAAGTGTTTGATTATAAACACCCCCTCTCAACAGCAGTGAGAAACATTTCCTGAACATTAAAAAAAAGCTTATTTTAAGATCTACAAAGACAGTTTTTGACAACTAACATATAAAAATAACGTAGGCACTAAACCACCGGAGAACTTCTCAGGAGGACACTTTTGAACTTACTGCTTACTTCTTATAAGAAAGTGCTAGTGGATTGCAAGGAAACAAATGTGATACCCAAGATCGATAGCCAAGATGGCCAGGGATACAACCCCATGCTCTGAGTGTCCCTAGTCTCGGATTGCCAGAAGCTGGGACTGGCTGACAGGGGATGATGGGTCACTCGATAACTGCCCTGTTCTGCTCCTTCCCTTTGAAGCACCTAGCCAGGGCCGGCTCCAGCATTTCTGCTGCCCCAAGCCAAAAAAAAAAAAAAAAAGACCGCGGCAGGTCCTTCGCTCCTAGAAGGAGTGAGGGACCTGCCGCCCCAGAATTGCCACAGGTGCCTGCCCCTTCTCCCCTTAGCCGCCCCAAGCACCTGCTTGTTAAGCTGGTGCCTGGAGCCGGCCTTGCAGGCATCAAAACACTTAGCTGAGTATGGGTAGGGGTTTTTGTAGGGAAACAATGGTTCAAGGGAGAACACTAGATTTGTTTATGGGTAAACTGTGGCTCAAGGGAGTATACCAAAGTTGTTTTGTTCAGGCTAAACAATAGGAACTGATCATTCCTGGCTGTGGGAAGTGTTCCTTTGAGGGAGCTCGCAATGCAATTAGGCAGCTTCTGTATTTAGGATACCAATAAAGGATTTATAACTAGAATTGGTCTGATAACTACTGAGCTGGGTGTGTGCAGGTGTGGCTTCTTTAACATCATGCAGTGCTTCCCTGCATTTTTGGTCCCAGAGTTCTGTGCGGTTCTTGCCTTGGAATTTCTGTTCTCCATTGGTATGCTAATAGAGATGCCTCCCTGTCCCATCTTTGATGCAAATGAGGCTAGGGGAGTTTCCTTCATCCAGTCACCCTTGTCCGGGTGGGGGGGGGGTGGGGGGGGGATAGGTGCATCTCCCACTGCCTTTTTATTGCTTTTTGTAAGTTTTTCTTCTAATCGGCTTTGGTACAAGCAGAGGCTGGCGAAGTGAAGTGTGTGTGTGGGGGGGGAAGTCCTTCGTGAGTCAGACAGGTTGGATACTGCGCCCTGGTTCCCCAAGAACACAGCTGACAGGTAACAAGTCCCCGCCGTTGATGGGGCACTTGCGCTGAACAAGTATCCCCATCACATCCTTACTCAGTGGTACTGGGTCTGATCTTCAATCCATTGCAGCCGCTGGATCCAGCCAACCAGTAGAACCAGACCAATTGCTAGTATAATTTGGAAACTGATGATCACCACAATGGGGTGAAGCATGATATTTAAGAGACCTGTTGCACTGGGGCTTCAGCCAAGCAAAGTCTCCCACCAGGAACGTTGGCCTGTGTTTTTAACTGTAGCTGCTAGCCTAGAGATATCCTGGTTGTGTGTTGAATCTCGAGTTTGCCATTCTCCCCCAAAGTTCGGAGCTTCTGCAGCTCAGTTGGTAAGGAAGGATGAGTTAATAGTCCCTTAATGGCAGTAAGGCCCATTCCCAGTGAAATGGGGGAAATCTCCTTGTAGAGCTCAGGATAGGCTTTCAAGTGTTATACAGTCCATATAGGCACCGTGAACTTAATATTACAACTAACAATAATGGTTACATTACAGAAACAGCGATTAACGTAAGGCACCATGGGTTGAATCCAATGTTAATTAATACAATATTACATCTCATTTTTACATACACACATACACACACACCCCTTTACCAACATCGATTAAAAACAAAAAGAACAAGGAGTACTTGTGGCACCTTAGAGACTAACAAATTTATTTGAGCAAATTTATTTGTTAGTCTCTAAGGTGCCACAAGTACTCCTTGTTCTTTTTGCTGATACAGACTAACACAGCTACCACTCTGAAATAGATAGAAACAGACTCATTGTTCCTTTGATGTTATCCAGGAAAAGGGGACTTATTCCTAGTTTGTAGGGAAAAGCATTCATCATGTTCTTCCAATGCTTGGTTTTCAGAGATATAGCCCAAACCTTCTTTTCTCCTTCTCCCCTTTACATTTCTATGTTCCAACCATTATCTTTCTGCCAGGCCCAAGTGTTAGGATCTCTGGAGTACATTACTGATTTATTATTAATCTGTAATCCCAGTGGGA